TGGGGGGGGGGGGAATGTTAGAAGTATTAGCAGCAATGGGTACTGCCCAAGAGCAGTAATGCTGCCTTATTTCAAAAAAGAAAAAGGAGAAACAAAACACAGAAGAAAGAGCTGCCACCACTATACCTGTTGTCTTTTGGCTGCCATTATGTTAAGCTTGTCCACTTCTGGTTTGAGGGTTTTGTACTGGATACCCAAGTCCTGCTCCGTGCCAGCATTTCTTAGTTTCAAGATACCATCTTCCACCTGAAAGAATATATACTCACATATTTTTCCAAGCAATAGTCCGCAGTGATTCGAATGTACTTCACAGCAGACAGAGAAAGCAATCTTCTTCTGCATCTTTATATTTTTTGGAGGGAGACACTTGAAAGGCCAATATCACAAGGCTTAGCTACTACTTCATAGTCACCAGCTACCAGGGACACCCAAAACACAACCATTTCAAAGGCCATGAAGGAGCTCAGGGCCTTGGCAGAGCCACGGCAGTGGCCACCAAAGGGCACAAGGAGAGTCCTCAGAGCCTGTGGGCTAAAGCAAGCCCAGTATTCAATCTTGCTTCACTTCACATTTTGCAGAAACCACCCATCCTCTTCCTGTGGGAAGAAAAGGCTTCCTCAAATACTCCACATTCATTTTATTTAGTCTGCTGAAGCTACTCATCCCTAGTAGCTACAAGGGAGTGCTGCCTATCAGAAAGCCAAATGATCTCTGTGAGATGAAAGGGCTGGCTCTCACCTGCAGCCACAGACTAGAGCACAGTTAGCTTCTATAAGAAAAGTTCAGAACAAACTGCAACTCAACATCAAAAGCTACTGATGATGAGTGTAAAAAATGACTGACAAACATCCACTGCCCACATTTTGCTGAGAGGAAAAGCCCTCAAACCCTCCCCCACTCCAGCAGCTGCTGCCAGCACACTCAGCCCGCGGGGTCAGCACGCACATGTCAAAACGGCACCTGGAGGGGTACACCCCATGTGCCAGGCACAGCAAAGAGCCACACTTACTACTTTCAGTTGAACAAGCAGCTTGTAGACATCTGCCATGTCAGCCAGAATGAGCAGCCGAGTGACAGCAGAGAGCAAGGCGCGCGCCGCCCGCACCATGTTCCCACGTTTCACCGAGGAGCAGGGGTCGTCTGCGAACTCCCCAGACGCACTCTTCATCAGGTCACCTGCACAAGGGGAGAGCATGGTCTGCCTTTAACATCACACACCATTTCCTAAGGGCTGCAAGGACTCCTGGGCAAGCCAACCTAAGTCTTGGAAACAAAACACATTTGCTTAAATACAGCCAACCACAACTATTTTAAGTAAGTATGGCTACCATGTGGTACCAGGGCAGAAGGGCTTGTGCTGGCAGGAAATCACACTTTCATCCTTATTTCCATTGCTACAGGTGTTTTAACATGCCTAGATCCTCTGCAGAGGCATATTCAGCATGCCTTTGCAGCCTGCAGTTTTTTCACAAGCTACAATGCTTTCAAAGCCTGTGCAAAAGCTTTGATTTGAGTGTGTCTAGGAGTTCAGCAGAAAGCAGCATAAAGCACAGTAAACACACGGCGAGCAGCCACAGCTCCTGGGACCGTAAACAACTTGGAGCCATGACCTGGCTGGGTATGCCTGGGTTTGCATTCAAAGCCAGGCATCGCTCTGTAAAACACTTCAGCATTTCATAGCCTGTGGCTCTGCATCTGGTGCAGGAGGAGGAAAGAATCTGGATTTCAGATGGTAAAAATGCCATTGGTTAACTATGAAAAGCAAAGGCCACTTTATCCAGCTACAGAAATTCCTCCAGAAGGCATCCAGAAACCTAAAAGTAATGTCTTCATGCAGTCAGAGTACTACAGTTCCTACACAACAGCCAGTTTAGAAATCCACAATATTATTCTTGGATCCCTTTGCATGTCAGAAACATTGAGAGAACAGCTAGGACTGAGTTTAAAAAATGCTAGGTCCTCAAGGTTAGAAATTTGCAGGCAGCAGGAGATGACCAGAAGGCAAAACTGTGTTACAACTAGCTGCTGTGTCAGAGGCTTCCCAAACCTCTAAGTGTGTAAACAAAAATAGCCTGTCTCAGATGGGAAGGAAAAAACCTTCAACGGTGCTGGATAAGTGACAGTTGACAGTGGAGCCTACTACCAAATGGGGCTGGGTGAGGTCTGCACCAATATCTCTAGATGATGCAGTCCTGGGATGTTTCCACTTATTTTAACAACTTATTTTTAACTACTCAGAAATAACAGCAGCTGGAGAGCCTGGGGTTAACCATCCATATACATAATATGTTGCCCTGGAAGAGTTTCTAGCACCCAGGCACTCTAAACCTTCATAGCTAAATTCAGCCCAGGCATAGCTGCCAGCCTGTCCAAGCAACCACATAAAGACACTCAATTTTGTTCGAAAGCTCCCTCCTATGTAACACCCTTCCATCATCTTAAATAATACAACCAAGAGTGGCATACAACATTTTAGGAGAAAAATATGCTCCTTCAGTACTGCGACATATGAAAAAAAAGCCTCTGTCCAAATACAGGCCAGCCCTGAATATCAACCCAAAGCCATCCTTTACCCAACTTTTGGGAACCAAACTCATTTACATTAACGAGGGTTTAGAGCCCCAGATTTCCACATGGGTGAAAAACAATATATCACCAATGTTGAAAAATGCCATTAGCCAGGAGATCACAAAACCCCTACATAGCTGATACGAGCCTTTCTTTATTTCTTCTGGAAGAGGCTAATAAGAAAATAAATGTCACCACCACAAATACAAAATCTATTAATGACTCAGGATTTAAGCATACATATTTACAAGAGCATGAAGTAACGATGGGTGAAAAACAATATATCACCAATGTTGAAAAATGCCATTAGCCAGGAGATCACAAAACCCCTACATAGCTGATACGAGCCTTTCTTTATTTCTTCTGGAAGAGGCTAATAAGAAAATAAATGTCACCACCACAAATACAAAATCTATTAATGACTCAGGATTTAAGCATACATATTTACAAGAGCATGAAGTAACGGGACAAGGGGGAATGGCTTCAAACCAAAAGAGGTTTAGATCTCATGCCTCCTTTCACCACTTCTTACAGCCTGTTCAGCTCTTTTGCCCAGAGAATTTGTGACTGCCCCAACCCTGAAAGTGTTCCAGGCCAGGTTGGACAGGGCTTGGAGCAACCTGGGCTAGTGGGAGGTGTCCCTGCCCATGGCAGGGGGTGATACAAGATGAGCTTTGAGGTGTCTTCTAAACCAAATCACTCTATGATAAGCCAGAATCAAAATTCACTACAAACATTTCCTCCATTATTTCCTTAAATGTAAAATTCCAACATTTTCAACTCCCAAAAGAATGTTGCTTTCATTTATTTTCTATTTAAGACAACTTAAAAGAGGTGGTCACTTGCTTCACCTAAATCTCAGAAATTTAACAAGGTTAGAAAACAAAATTATCCTCTACTCATCTCTTAAATTGCAACATTTCAAGCCAGTCCTGAAATAAAACGCTACTTCTTTTTATTTTAACAAGAGACTTTAAAAGATTTAGTGAGTTTCAAACAGCTTGTCAGGGTGTCAAAAGAAAACCAGCTTCCCAGAATTGGAGGAAGATTATATTTAAAGTTGTTGCATATATATATATTATTTTTTTCTGCCAATTAAAGCAAGCTGCCTTTCAGGCTTCTTTTGCAAAAGAAAAGCAACATGGGGTAATTATTTTAGCTAGATTCAAAGGGTAGGAGGGCACACTGCCTGGTCTAAATATGCAGTTACTGCATTATCTGTATGCATTATCAGTTCAAACTGTATCCAGCATAATCTTCCCATTTTCAAATTGGAACCAGAGGTAACACCAAGTTTGGAAGCAGAATTTCAAGAATTAGAGGTAACACACTGGCGAAAGAGTCCAACTATGAGACTCAGTTTACAAAGCTGGTACAAACTCTTACATGAGTAATCTGTTTTTCCAATATAGCCTTAGATTTTCACCAGATATTCCAAGGGAAAGATAATAAAACAGAGTTGAGAAAAGAAGAGGCAACAGTAGCCATACTGTGATACTACAAATTCAATTAAATCTAACGGAACAAGGCCCATTTCAGAAATAGTAATATTTTAGTCCATCAAAAGAAAATTACCATTTTCTAGTATCCTTCCCACCATGCCCACAGGGTTTGAGAGCACTTTCAGAGAGCACTGTTAATCCTCCTCACAGGAACAGGATGACAGTGACCGAGGGCTTGTTTCACACCAACACTGACAGCAGGGGAGGGTGGCAGAAGGCAGGCAAGGCAGGAACACCCAGGACACAGGCACTGATGCTCTTCTTCCTAGCTGTAAATTCATGCCCAGACATCACCTGTACCCTTCAGCACCTTCCAGTTCAGAGTCTGTCCTCAGGCTGCTTTGCCAGCAGTACTAGAAATACCAAGAGTACCACTGGGCCATACCTGTTCAGAGCACCCCATGGCAGTTGCCTACAGGTTGCCATTCCCCAACAAATGAAAGCAAGCAGGAAATCAGGAATTTCCAGTCTCTACTATTCTGGATACTGAAGTCTCATCTCACCACTAATGCCACCTTCAACATCCACCATGAGTGTCACAACAGGCTTCTCTGGCTTTCTGCTGTAAAGGGTTAATGCCTTGCATCACCTTTTGCCATACCAACATAAGAGCTGATAATTCTGGCAACAAAAGCTTCTGTTAAGTCCTTAATCTCGTCTTCAATTAAAGCCATATACTGCCCACAACACTTAGAGTTTGCCAAGAGGCATCTCTCCCTTAGGTTGGCTTTTCAAAGACCCCAAGTCCTTGGCTGAAGGATTACTTCTAATCCAAGTGGTACACTCCTAACGCACTGTTCTTGCAGGAGAAAACTGAACTCACTGCACTTTTCCAAGAAATTACGCTAACTGGGCACAACAGAATTTTGAAGCTCAGTTTTCCGAGATGAATTCGGTGTTGAATTTCAAGGTGTTCTACAACTGGCCTCCTTGGGTTCCCTGGAAATCCTTAAGCCATGCATCTTATGTGAAGTACAGCTGGAAAACTCTTTTCCCTTTCATAACTTGTCTCACTGTTCAAGTTTGAAGAAATCTTTGCTGAGAAACACGAGGCAGAATGACACCATGCTTTTCCCCTTCCATAACCTGTCTCACTGTTCGGGTTTGAAGAAACCTTGGCTTAGAAACACGAGGCAGAAAGACACCATGCTGTATCAGGTGGCTCATTCCCCTGCATTTGCAATCCAAAACACAACCAAAGCCCACAGGATTCACAAGACCATTCATCCATTCTTACCTCAAACACTATATACAGGCTTGGCCTTTTTAATTTTAAGCTTTCATTTTTGGCTTGTAACGCAAAGTTACCATAGGAAGAAGTACACCAGTACCAAACCCTCACACAAGCACACAGATATACAGAGACAGGGAACTATGGCCATCAGTACTCTTGGAAAACAGGAACAGCCTGGTCAGTCTGACCCAAAAGAAACTTGCTTCTTAACACCAGTTTGGAGCCTGTCTCAGTGCCAAGCACCTGGGTAAGGAACCGGTGCAGCTCCTAAACACCTCACAGCTGCCCCAGAAATGCTGAGCACTCCAACATACATCAGACTTGATGCTTCATGAGAATGTATAACCCCACAGAGCTGACGGTCGGGGAATAAGGCTGGGCAAGACCAATATTGCCCCTTCTCTTTCCCAGCAAACCTCCAGTGCCAGAAATGACTGTAACAAATACTGCAAGGATCCTGGAATCTGAGATGTGCATATCAAATAGTTTCCTAGTACCAAGTATTTTCTATAAGCACAGTAGGATCTATTCTGAAAAACACTTTGGTTCTTTGTCTCCCCTGCTCTGCTCAAAAACCTTAAGATATTTCACTACATTTTAAGAAATCAAAAGTCCAAAACTTTAAAGGGCCAGGAATCTTAAGGTATTTCCTTAACTTGTTTAATATTTATAGTAAGTTGCAATTTATTCTTCCATTGCAAAAAAACAGGATGACTCTAAAGATCCACTTATATTGATTTAGTATGAAGCCATGCTATTACTCATTCAAAATAGCTCTTTTCACTTCTTTGCTTTTATCCCCAGCAAACGGGATTTTATGAAGAAGCATGCTCACTGAAATCATGTACTCTCTCAGTCTTCTTCTTGTTAGGCTAAAAAAGATTTTTTTTAAATTTTCTGTGATGAGACAAGTTATCTATTGTCCTAATCATCTTCATAATCCTTGTCTACCTTAATTAATCTTTTTTTTATGATGGTAACTAAACAGCTCCTACTCTTGATAGAGGCATTATTAATTCTATTTTCCTGTCCCCTGCTGAAGATAAATTGTGTTCTGTATCTATAATCCCACTACTACCATCAGACATAGATGCTGTCAGTTCAGGATCACCCTGCTGCTGACCACCACAACTGGATTGATTCTCCTCTCCACTCTCACCTCCACTGCAAAAGGCAGGTGAAGACACCAACACCAGGAAGGTTTGCGAAGCACACACACAGACTTTGTACCACACTTCCCGTGTTTCTCAAGTTCATTAATTCAACTGGTCTACCACAACACTGGAAACACTTCTGAAGCACGTGGAGTGTATGCAAACATGCATGTTGGAAGTTGTATCTCCATGCTGTTATTAACACTGCTGAGAGTAGCAATCTTCCCAGGCACCAGCAGTGATAACCCTTTTTCACCATTTGCTTCTAATTTCCTCAAAGGCTGGTTTGATTTTTAATTTACTGACAAAGAGCTGCTCTGCTAAACCTGGCTGAACACTGGCACATGATGGGGCGTGTCATGCTGCGCCTGCGGCCCCATCATGGACAGTGGGCACCGGTTGTGTTCAAGAGACTCACCTAAGTCTGACCACCCACCCAGCATCAGGAAACACACAGCCACCCTCTCCATGCACCACACGACACGCAAGCTGCAAACAGTAAAAAGGGAGGAAGAAGTGAAGCGACAGTAAGGTGGGAAGTTATTGCACTCCAGCACCTCTCAGCTGTGAGCTTCACCTCCTCTGTCAAAGACCAACAGAGCAGGGAGGTTTTGGCATCAAACCTATGTGCAATCTAAAAACCATGGAGAGGCCATGAAACAAGTGAAAGGGTCATCCAGAAGGTTTTTCCATCAGTCTTCCCTTCCTACCAGCTTCTCACTGCAATATACGACTACAAATCCAGCTCACGGAACATGCCAATCCTGAGGGTTAAGTACAGCTCCCTTGCTCACCAATACCACTGAGAGTCACTTGCAGGTACTCACAGATGAATTCTGCCTCAACGCAGAACAGCAAGCATCAAGAATTAAAGGCATTGAGTAAAAAGGGTCTCTTGCTGGTTGTTGTTGTTAAATTAAGCCAACTGAATTGGCCTCTTATATTGCAGCCTTCTTACTTTGATCACTCCTTGGTCTGTCAACCAGGCTCATCCAGAACTTAGAACCATTTTAAACTAATATTTCAGCACTCTGCAAGTTCAGCTACAAACAAGTAATTAATGCTAATGAGTTTTCCTTTTTTTTGCAGCAGCAGCCGTCACCATTAATACCAGTTGACTGGGTTTCACTGAAGCATAGAAAAGACTCATGACTGGAAGAACAATAAATGATTTATGAGCAACAATATTTACTAGTGCATATTTTAGAGTAAGCCATCTCCATAGGCTTTTCTTGCAGGTCTTCTCCAAGAAAGTAAAAAAGAAAATTATAAAAATCAACACTAGATGTGGAGGAGGAAGCCCAGAATATTTAATCATGGTCTTCACATTCTGTTTGTTGCTGTTTACATTTTGCATATTCAAGACACACATCTCTATCAAGCCAACACTTGGCTCTTCCTCCTACAGTGCTGGTCTGTATACACTCAAATATTGAAGAAGCTATTGACATATATGAGATGTAGTTCCATAAAATTTATAGGTGGGGGGAGCACATTTACTTTTGAGTCTAAACTGAGTTTTTAAGCACTCTTCAAAGAATCAGCCCTTCTGCTTCTCTTCTCAATCCCTACTCAGGACATCCAATTTCCAGAGCTATCCATTTCATATTAATCCTCAAGGACACCAGCAACGCAAGCTGAGAATCCACACAAGTGGAGAGGTGCAGAGGCATTAGAAATAACAGCCACGAAAATGGGAACAGCTCTGTTTTCTCTGAAAAGCCACAGTTTGACAAGCCATCAGACACACAGCTCTCACCTTGCTTGCGAACATCTTCCACTGCAGCTACCAGCTCCTCCTTAAGGAACTGGCTCTCTTTGGCAATTTTGTCTCCTTTCTCTAGGAAATTCTCCGTTGCTTGTTCAACTGAAGCAGCCAAAACATGGGCCTTTTTAGAACGCCCTCGCTTTTTATTAGAGGGGCCCTTGTTGCTGGTGTTAACCAGTGTTGTTACCTAAAGGCACAGAGGGAGGGAAAGAAAACCATGAAACAAATGAGATGTTTATCAATTTGACAGTAATGCCACAGGTATACTTCCCAGACAGTGTATCCCTAACACCTGCATAAAAGGTTAACAAGGGTTTAAACACTACCATGCTTAATTCTTTAGATTAGCATTATAAACACAGCTAAACAGCTTAAGGATTTTTCTAATCAGCAGCAGACCTGATTTTAAGAATTGAGATCTATTTGTATTTTTGATAACTGCAATCTCAGTAACAGGCCACAGCTCTTCAGCACATAAAAGAAACCAGGCTGGGGATAATTAGTTGGGATAGTTCTCCAGTCATAGGAGACCCCAAACAAGGTCAAAGTTGGTATCTATAGAAGTGTAGAGACACAGTGTCTTTTCAGTCCAGAACAGTACTGAATGCAGAGCAAAGGACTTCCTAGAGCTCATTATTTCCCTAAAAGAACCCAAACTGAACTCTCACAACCCTCCAGCAATTAACAAGTATTTCCAAGCTCTATGTTTTAGACTGAGACCCTACTGAGAGCAGAGTTGCCACCGGCAGCTGGATGACCACCAGGTACTCAGTTAGCTCAGGATCAGGATCCATCCACCCCCTTCTATCATGCTATCTATCAGACATGCTACAAAATACACACACACTTCTCCATTTGCCTTTTTTTTCCTCTCCTTTTTGGAAAGCCTAGGAAAAGGCATACAAAACTACTTCAGAGGACATTAAATTACAACACTAAAAAAATTACTACTCTGTAAAGCCTGAGGACTGCTGACATAAAGGTCCTCAGAGCTGAATCCATCTTCTCAGTGGGCTGATTCAGGGAGGGAAAAGCCATCAGCTGGGTATGTAGCGGTTGGTTAATGGGGAGCATTTGTACTGGGCAGTCTCAGTTCATCATGTACTACAAATAAAGAACAAGTTGCAGCAATGCAATTTACTCTACTTTCCTGTCTGTATTTTGCCAGTCACCTGATCCAGCAAATTTGGGATTGCCAATACAGCCTGTTGTGCTTTTTCCTTGAGGAGTAAGTCACAGACACTGAACTTGGGACAAAAAGGTCCTATCAACAAGTTTGCTCAGCTAAATTTGCCAAATTAGCACTATTTCTCATAACGAAAGACTCGATCAGCAACTCCAGCTAAAAAGCCTTATAGCAGGTCATCCAACTGTCCACCTGAGCATCCATAGGGAACAAATGGCAGGTACAGACATCAGCTTGGCAGCTAAATGGATGTTGATACTGGAAACAAAACTAGATCAACTTCAATCTGTGATGAGCAGGAATTGTGTCCAGTTCATACTGTCATTTTAAACATTTCTTATTCCAGGGAAATAATGCTAAAGAAGACAAGTCAAATGCCTCCAGTGTACCTTCTCTTCCAGACTTCCTAGAAAGCCTCTTCCAAGAATCTTCAAAAATCCCGATACATACAGCTCACATTTACAAGACCTACTCCAGCCTTCCTGTACTCTTCAGTGCATTTCACTGGGACATACACACCATGCAGAAAACAGCATATATTCACAAATACAGCATAGAGCAAAACCATGGAACATTAGTTTTTAACATGCATTTCTGCACCTCTAGTTGAAATACTGTGTCTTATCCGGTGCTGAAGCAGCAGTCTTCCTAGCCTCCTGCCCAGTAACTGTCACAATAAAACTGAGCAAAGGCACTACTTGTAAACTTCTCTCCATTTTCAGTATTTAAGCTTTGCAACTTACTTAACTGAAATAATACATCAAAACAGGTTATCATCTTTATCAAGATTTATTTTGTCTCCTCTTTTTCTCTTACCTGTGTAACAAGAGGCTCGAGTAGCCTTTCAACTGCCAGTGTTCTTATCTCCAGGCTTTTGGGGTCCCATTTGAAGTTCACGTTGGCTGCAGTGACAGCAGTCATTTCTAGAAGAAAAGAGCTATGTGAATATAACTTTTTATTGTTAATGCTGTTGGAATGTATCTTTAAAATAAATTAAGTGGAAACTATTAAATACAAAACACCCATTTAGAGTAAGTCAAGGTTGTATCATCTCCAGAAATAACAATTTTGGTTCAACTTGGTGATATTTTAAAAAACTGCTTGTTATGACAATATGCAGACATTACCTGTACATTTTGGTTAGAAAACAAACCTAAAAATCATACAAAAACCTCTTGAAAAGCCACACTATTTTAGCAATGACAACATCAGCAATGTCTGGCCTACTTATCAGTGGTCCCTGAGCAATGAGAAAGGACCTCACAGGTAATGGGGGCACTTCACCCATGAGTCTTGGTGACCCCTGCCTAATTTCCACTGCCTCCCTTCCAAGGTCAGCTATCCTGTGCTCCCATGCTGGCCCTAAGACAGAGCCCAAGGCTTGGAGGAGCAGAAGGGAACAGCTTGACTTCAACGGCCCCAGAAAACTGCCTGTGTTCTCAGCTCCACCATGAGTCACTCCCCAAACTTCACCAAATCAGGAGCAGGTTTAACTCAACTCACTCAACCACTACTTCACTCAGTTCACCTTTTGGGAGCATAAAGGCAATGTAGTGAATATAAGCCTTACAAAGCTAGAAAATCCAGCTGGTTCACACTTAACAGCTTACTTATCTATTACACTTCCCTTAACATTCACATAGGAGGGAAATGCAGATTTGCATGAAGAGATCTGTTCTAAACTGTCACTGAGCCCTTCCCTCCAGTTACAGTTTTATATCAACATCCCAATGGAACAGCAAACATGATTATGGAAAAAGTTGAGTGAAACTACAGAAATAGCTCTGCTGTTGAAACCAGTAGTCTAAAAAACCAAAACTAAAAATAATGAACCACAACAGATCACTGGATTAACACTGTCATGCTGCACAGCAGAACGAAAGAATAAACTGAACCGTAACTTCAGTTTAAAAAAAAGGATTTAAGGTAATTATAGATCCAGAAAACCAATTCATACCACTTCAGACATAACAGATTCTAGCTCTTTCTGCTTTGGGCTGCCCGCAAAATTCAAGATTAGACTAAAGCCAGATTTCTAACTTTTTTGACAAAAAAATAAAAAGTCAGGAAGAGAAATACATTTCCTAAGTCTCCTTCCATCCCTTTTCCTAAATACCTACTGCCGAAGTCATTTTAAAGCTTATTAACCAACATTTTTATATTTTCCTCTGGACAGGGCATTGCCTGCAGAGCATCTCACAGTCATGTTGCTGTGACAGGACCAGATGTCCCCAAGCTGCTAGATGAGCACAACATGCCATTATTTTTAAGAAGCAGGACACAAGGCACTGCTTTTGGTGGCCAACAATGTTTACAACAACCAACCGTTGTCCCAACACTGGCAGTTAACCCTGCAGAAATGGCACAGGCAGAGCTGCTGGTTCCGGGGTGAACAGAAGCACTCGGGCAGCCAAGGAGCTCAGCCAAGGGCCCAGCATCACCTGGCTCCAGGCTGACCCCAGCCATCACACAGCCTCTCTCACACCACGAGCATGATACAAGAGGCTGTCTCACTCCACCCCTGTCAACACAGCTTTGCCCTTAAGCCTACACACTGTCATATGCTGATGTACAGCTTCACAATATTACTTCATGCAGCAATATTCACTTAACCTGCATTCAGCTTTCCACTCCGCCCATGCTCCCAGTGCCCACACACCTGGGAGAAAGAAAACTTTAAAAGCTGAAAACTGAGGGGTGGGGGGAGACTAGGAAGAGCCCAATCAATGCTAAGCCCATGTGCTAGCTTTAAGTGAAAGAGGTTACAGGAGCAGGTGAAGGGTCCCAGCTCCTGCAGCACAAGCCACGCCAGGCTGTAGCCCCACTGAACTGACTGCTGGAGGGTGGAGGAGGGTGGCCACCTCCTCTCCTCACCCTACCTCTGACACTGACCACTAAATCCTGCAAACTCACTAATTAACCTGCTCTCTCAATCACCCCCTTCGTTTCCACTCATCCCTGGCTTGTGCCACAGTCCAGACACTGGCGCAGGGCACACTGTGAAATGCCCTTAACCGCCAAGTAACATCCCCCCCCTCCATGATGAACTCTGCTGGTTTATTCCCTCCTGATTAGCTCTGCTTGAAGGCTTCCTATGTAAGAAGTCAAGAAAAAATATGCTGAAAGCCTTTATGGTTTCTGAGAAACACAGCCAGGGCTCTGGGCAGCCCAGCCAGTTCCTAGGTAAGGGCTGTTTCGACACGGTTAGTGCTGTTGCACCTCTCACAAAAACAAAGCGCAGGACAAGGTAACCATGAGAAGATACATTAATTGTATTAGCAGGATAATAAAGGCAATTCATCTGAAAATGTTAGCATGATAGTTCATGAATTGACCAAAAGTAATGGTCTATAAAACCACTTAGTAGCAGCATTATTGAAATTTATCTAAAAAGCATAGCTTGATATCAAATAGACTGTTTGGTAGCAATGGCTCAGAAATCATTTGTACATTGCAATAAATACTTCTTTATTAAATACTTGTGGAGAACACAGCAACAGGCTACAGGTTATCAACACATGGGTGAGCGGGGTGGGTTTAGGGGATAAAAAAAACAACTGCCAGGGCCACTTTACAGCAGGGCTGTCATCCCACTACAAGGTCACTCCAATTCTCTAGAACTTGCCTTTCCCCTGTGACTGCTCAAGGTCTTGCCTCACTGAATTCAAATATAGTAACAAGTAGCAAACCACATCAGAGGATATTGTAGCAAAGTGTTTAAAGTTCGATCCTGGACAGCACACCACAATGCCTGGAAGTACTGCAGTCACCCTAACATCTCCAGGGAACAAGGACATCCTCTGAAGAGGGACCCACCTGCAGGCCAGTGTGGCCTTGGTTTGGCAGCTGGGATGACCCAGCTGACCTGGAAATAAGCTCACCATGTGCCAGCCCTGCTATGCACAGGACACACAACAGCACACATGGTCAAAGCAGAATTTCAAGGACGATGCAGCATGGACCACACAGCAGAAGAGTGCATGATGCTCAATCTCAAGTGCAGGAATATATAGAATGACACCACTGCACAAGGAGTTGTGGTTGCCCAGCCTGTGGTTTCATAAGCGGCAGAAAAGCTGCTTAAAGACCAACATTCATCCTCCCACACCCCTCCAGGAACTCATCCTCGTTTGCACATCACACCCCCTCTATACTGGCACAGCTTTCCCCCGGCTGAGCGATTAACCAGATGGGGAAGAACTGATTCGGCTGGAGGGAAAGGAATCCATTTCTGCAGGGTGGGCCGAGATCCCCATCTGGCTCACTGTGCCACCACAGACATCACTGTGAGCTGCTCAGTAACGGTATGGGGAGATGGCTACATCAGCTGGCACTATCAGCAAAGCCACTGAGGTGGGAACACAGGGCAAAGCTGGATGTCACAGCCAAGTTGAACCAGGTGCTACTGAAAACTGAGCATCAAGTGAAGCTTCTGTGGAGAGCAGGAGTGTCTCCCCTACACATCTAATACTCAGACACAAAGCCCCAACCTTGTACCACGCTCACCACCCAGCATGTTGACTGCAAACCCTTCAGGTTATTGTACAGGTCATGATGGGGCCCATTACTGCAGTCAAAGGTTCAACAGCAATGCGATATCTTACTGGGGTTTAGTGCACCTGCAAGGACATAAGGGCAGGGGAAGAAAAGGAGTTTAAAGAAGCCACTTTCAGAGCTCCTGTTCCAGCCAAAGAGCAGCTCTGTGAACACAGCCATCCCTGGACAACTTGCCCCTGCTTTCTGCAAACACTCAAGACACATCAACAGCTAAAGCTTAAGAACAGGTCTCCATTCTGCTTCAAGCAACCACTGTCGTCATCCTCCTGCTTGCTTCCCTGCCCCAAACAGGCACCCACACTGGCACACATCTGATGTGGCGAGCCACTGCAGGAAGCTCAGTTTTGGAGTAGGCTGCTAACTACGAGAATTCCCTTTTTGGCTTACTGTCCTGACAGAAGAGCTGGGACTGCACAGGGAGGCAGATGGGGCTACAGCAGCACTGAGATGAGCTCTCCTTCTGAAGTGCCCCCCAGGGCAGATTCCAGCCCTGCTCACACTGGTGAAGGCACACACCAGAGCAGATGGACATCTGAACTGCTGGGGCTGTACTTACACACCTCATACAGGAGCTGCCGGGAACACACCGAGGATGAGATGCATACAGTGCTCTCTTCAAAAACCACAACTAAATGTTGGACAGCTTTCAAAAACTGGTAATTCAAGGTTTTAAGAAAACTTCAGATACCTACTCCTTAATACTGGCATGTAAATAAATTTCCAGACTTTGGCAAGCATCAATGCAGTTCTGCAGCTTCTTTGCAGAAGTGCCCTGAAGGCACTCAAGGCTCTTCATGAGTCCATAAAGGAGCACAATTTCAACAGTGAGCTCTGCATCCCAACAAATCACGGAAAGGCCTAGTGCTCGTGGTCCTGTTTTTCTCGTGCTCTCACGTACACCTGAAGGCAGTGCTGGCTGTATCTCAGGCACCACTGAGCTAGTATGTTCCACGTGCCCTATACCAAGTGATCTTGCAGCTGCCCCACCTCTGGACCAGAGCAAACCTCTTTGGGTTACACAGTGAAAAATATAACTGCACATCTGCTGTGCTTCAGTCCCACCACCCTATGCTACCTGAAGACTCTTTTAACATGCCATCTGCTGTCAGCCTCTGCACCTTAACTCTCCTGACAGACCGTTTTCTAAAAGCTTTTAACTGTACTCATGGGTGTGAGTTTTTCTCAGGGAAGCTGGTATTCAGAGAGGCCTGACTGGCACAGCTATGGGCTAACCTGGGCCAGGCACAATAGAACACATGCTGAATTCCAGCATTATGCTATCCAAAAAATCTCACAAAAGGACATGGGACAAGAATATTTTACACCTGGGAGGACATTTGCCATTTAAACACCCTTCCTATTACTCACCTAGC